ATTTAAAGAATATATATTCTCTATTTTTATATCTCTGTATACCGAGAGATTAAAGGTCTGAAAGATGTATGCAACAGTGGTGTTTACCTCCAGGAAGTATAGGCTGTGGGTATAGTATATGCTGGGATAGGGAGAGAACTATCACCTTTTCTTTAAATTATAAAACTAAATGTCGATTTTAAAAATAAAAGGTTCAAAGTGAAATAAGCTATTTTTTAAAAATGTAAATATCTGAATAATTAAGCACCAGTAATCTCAATAGCACTTACATAAAAGTTCATTTTCTCACCAACTTGAGATGCTGCCTTTACTGTATTCTAAATGCCATTGAGTCTATTTCTGGAATTCCTCTTCTGTTACATTGAACTTTCTATTTTTAAAGGGCCAATACAAAACTTTTCATTCATTCAACATTAGGAATGCCTTCCAATATCCATACTTTACCAGTTGCGTAGTACTGAGTTACATAAATGTATCATAATCAGTGTCTTTTCACAATTACAAAAATGTGGCTGTGAGATCCTTGAAAATGTATCATTGCCTATTTGCATGTTTCTTTATGCTAAATCTCTAGATACAGAGTATCTGGGCCAAAAAGCGTGCACACTTTTAAAAATTCTGATAGCTTCTGCCACGGCAGATTTAGAGTATGTTTTAGTGTCGGATATGGCTGGTCCTCTCTAATTCTTTTCAGTTTCCACAGTTTTTCTAGTATGTTCTCTCAAAGGACAATATAATTTTTATTGGAATGGCATTGAATTTATAAATAAACCTAAGTGGGGAAAGACATGTTTTGATGTTGTCTATCTATCTAAGAATATCATGTATCTTTTCATTTGCTGGAATCTACATATTTGCCACTCAAGAGTTTTTTTTTTTTTAGTTTTCCTCATACAGATTTTAATGTGTCTTAAATTTACACATTAAGTTTTCTTTTTACTTTTGCTGTCACAAAGGTGGTCTTCTCTTCAAGTATCTTCTAACTAGTTTAGGTTTGCATACATATATATATATGTATAGTCTTGTTACTCTTTTTAGTAAACATTTTTATTGAGCTATAATTATACATACAGAAAAGTGCACAAATCATATACAGCTTGATAAATATTCATAAGGTGAATGCACCTATGTAACCAGCACCTAGATCATGAAACAGAACATTACCAGCACCACAGAGTCCCCTTGTACCCTCTTTCACTCCTACTGAGTTAAAGCCAGTTGAAAACTAATGTATACTATATGGTTCCACTCATATAAAATTCAAAAACAGACAAAACTAATTGATGGTGATTTTGATAGTGCTTACCTTTGGGAAGAGAGGTAGTGACTGAAAGGGGGTGCTGATTTCTGACACCATACATAAATGCTATTTTGAATGAAATGATTCAAAATGGAATCAAAGTATACACTGGTGAAGCCTACTGATATTTGTATGTAAATTGTATTTAATAGCTACTTTACTAAATTCTTTTATTGTTTAGTTTTTCTTCTGGTGAAGCCTACTGATATTTGTATGTAAATTGTATTTAATAGCTACTTTACTAAGTTCTTTTATTGTTTAGCTTTTCAACAAATTCCTTTGGGCTTTCTAGATACATATTCATATCTGCACATAGTTTTAACTCTTCCTTTGCAATTCACATCTTTATTTTGTCTAACTCCATTGGCTAAAACTCTCAACACATTAAGTAGTAGAGGAGTTAGTGGGCATGTCTTGTTCCTGACTTCAGTTGGAAAGTCTTTTTTGCTTTGAAATTTAAGATGCTGGCTTTTAGGTAGAGGTACAATGTTAATTGATTATTCATCAATTTCTACTTAGCATATTTAACGTGAGTGCTCAATTCTATCATGTCTTTTCTGCAAAGATGAAGATATTTCTTAACTCTTAATATGATGAATATTAATAGATTATCTAGTATTGAATTACCCTTGCATTCTTATAATAAACCCAACTTAGTCATGATTACCTTTTGAAAGTGCTGTTGGATTGTTTGCTAATGTATCATTAAAACTTTTTATTAATATTCATGAGATTGCTCTATAATTTTCTTTTTGGTACAATCTTTGTCAGGTTTTTGAATCAATGCTATTACATTCACTTTATAAAATGAATTTAGCAGTTTCTTTTTTTTTTTGGCACTTTGAGGTTCAAGATTCTTTTCCTAGTCTCTGGAATTGTTTAAGCAAGAATGGGATTATTTAATCTTAAAAGGTTTGGTAGAAATCCCCTTGAAACAATCTGGGCTTGATGCTTCCTTTGGTAAGGGGTACTATTTGTTTCTTCTATGGCAACTGGTTTGTTGTGACCTAAATTTTGGCAATTTGCATTTTTCTCAAAAGTTTTCGAATTTATTGTGTAAAACTGCTCAAAGTAGTCAATTTAAACAAATTTCCTCTTTTACTATTTTCCCCTTGTCATTTAAATTTTTGTATTTGTGCTTCCTCCTTTTTTTCTTAAATAGATTAGCTGGTAGTTTATCGCACTCAACTCCCCGCACTATCCATCACCAACTTGGATTTATTGCCTTTATTGTTTTGGTTTGCTACTAGTAATTATTTCTTGTTTTTATTGTTATTAATTCCTTCCTTCTGCTTTATTTTGCTTTTTACTCCAAGTGTTTGGTACTTGGTTAATTTTCACCTTTTCCTTTTACTGATAATTGCATTAATTACTATAAATTTCCTGTCATATTTGCATTTTATTTTTTGGCAAATATTAGGTTTTTATCTGTCTTGCGTCATGTCTTTCTGGTGTGCTTTCATTGTCTGTGAGGATGTTGATCTATTTATTATTTCTCATACTAACTTTGAATGGAGTTGGACTGTAATCCTGGCTCACTCACTCTTTTTTTCCCCTTAACTGAAACGAGTTTTTCTGTACTTTTAGGTGGGAAGAGTGCTCTAGGATGACTTCACAGCCTTAGAGCTCCCATTTTCACAGTGATTTAAAAGAATATATATATGTGTATATATATGAAAATACATATATATAATGTCTCTGTATCTTGGCCTTCCTACCCAATACTTATCTAGATATTTCTTTTGTCCTATTTTACCCATCCTGCCCATTTGAATTCTAATTCTAGAAGTTTGTCCTCAGTGCTGGGCTTTGTCTCATAAGCTTCAAGACGTACACAGCAAAAAAACCCAGACTGCTCTAATGCAGTCATCAGACCTTATTATATTGCTTTAACATTCATCTGCAAATGGGATTCGGTAGTCACTTCCCAGTTTCAGTGTCTGTTCTTAGATTGGCCCACTGCACTTTGTAGTGAGAAACTGTGGGCAGTGTTGTAGTTCTCCAATTTGCAGAGCTGTCAGAAACCAGCTGCCTTCCTTCTACTTCCTCCCACAGATACTGAAACTATGTGGGTCAGTGGTTTGTCCTCGCTTAGTTGTATTTTGAAGTTCATAGAGCTACCTTGTCATCTAGTGTTGTAATAGTGTCTATAGTGTCCTAGTTGCTCTGTATTTTTATGGGGAGATTAGAAAACAACACTGTTATCATCATTTTCCCTGAGGTTAAACTGTTAAGACCTCTTTCTGTTGTAGGAGAGGTTTTAATTACAAAAATAATTTTATGATCATTATAAAGAACCTATAATTTGAAATTTGCTATATTCCAGGTACTATCCTAAGTGCTTTATCTGCATTATCTCATTTAATCCTAAACCCTGTGAGTTAGGTTTTACCTATTGTCCTTATTTTATCAATGGGAGAGTTAGGGTCCAAGATCATGCCACTGAACTGGCAAATCTGGGATTTAAACCCAGGTCATCTGATTCCAGAGCACCTCCTCATTAACTATCTCTCAAAAATGATCAGGTCCAACAGTTTTCAAATTATATACCACCATCAGCAAGATTTCTATATGAATTTAGATTAAATACAAATAACTATTTAAAGATCTGGGCCGGGCGCGGTGGCTCAAGCCTGTAATCCCAGCACTTTGGGAGGCCGAGGCGGGCGGATCACAAGGTCAGGAGATCGAGACCACAGTGAAACCCCGTCTCTACTAAAAATACAAAAAATGAGCCGGGCGCGGTGGCGGGCGCCTGTAGTCCCAGGTACTCAGGAGGCTGAGGCAGGAGAATGGCGGGAACCCGGGAGGGGGAGCTTGCAGTGAGCCGAGATCGCGCCACTGCACTCCAGCCTGGGCAACAGCGTGAGACTCCGTCTCAAAAAAAAAAAAAAAAAAAAAAAAAAAAAAAAAAAAAAAGATCTGATAACACATATATATTATAGATCAAATCTAAAAACACTGAAATGATAAACAGGTTAAATTATGCCATATGATCTGACTAATCTTATTTGTATGCAGATGCTCAAAACAAAGCTCCTCTTTACCTTCTAAAAAAAAAAAAATACCACAAAATTAGGGGGCAGGAAGGAGACAATTAGGGAGTAGGAAAATAGAGCTTTTTGAGATTTCAGACTTCATATTTCCCCTCATTATATCACTCCTGTTAAGGAATAAAGTATATATGTGAAATATTGCTTATAATTTATTTAATCGATAAATACTTTTCTTGTAAATAACTATTTAGAAAAGTCAGAAATAGTTTCTCCACAATTCACACTGGCCTGCTATTTTCTGGTCAATTAAGTTGCTATGGAATGTGAACATTTACTAGTCCATAAAGTTTCACAAGGAAGTCTCCCACAGGTATATCAATTAGAAGCATACTAAAATTTATCATCTTATGGTATTAAATTTTAAGGAGTTAGAAAATATTTAGCCTTATGAAATACTTTTAGATTGGAATTTTCCTGTAACTTACATTTATGAATACAGTCATACAGTTACTACCTTTATTACCTCCTAACCTTTCTTGGTGATACAGAAAAAACAATTTGGGCTTTTTATATAGTACTAAAGCCATTATATATATGCTACTTCAACTTCCAATGTCTAAGAGATGACTTAGTTTGAGATATGGATGTCTTAATCTGCCAGGATTTAAATAGTAGCAATTGGAATAACCCATAGAAGGATAACATCTGTTAGTAAGCTTAGTTTTTCCCCCCACCATCAGAAGATTTTTTTATTTCTAATTAAAAAACATACAGTTGGCAAACTCAGGTTTAAAACTAAGCATGCCAATAATAAATGAATCATTTCTCCAAGTACATACTGTTTCCCTTGGGAAGGACTGTTATTTTACGACATTTTTTTCTCTAATTTAGAAAAAAAGATAACATTTAAAATATTACAATGCCTAAACAGTGATACCAGTAATATAGTTCTTATACTGATGTTTATATTTCAACATTTATTATCACCAAGACTAACTTAACCCAACTCCTTTAGTGAAGAGATTTCTTTCCCCATTTCAGTACTAGACTCATAGTTCTGAATGTCACTAAGCAAGTAATGGATATGAGTTATTGATTAATTAATTACTAATGAAGAGTTTTTATATTATCTCCTTTATAATTAGCTAGTTCATAAACTTAAGAAAACAAAACAATGAACAAAAACAAAACCCTATTTCTTACCCTCTAAATGGTTACATTTGCCTTTCACTTACCTGAAAATATGAGAATAAAAATGACCATGTATAGAGTTGCACCACTGAATCTATTTGAATGGTTCTGTTTTTGTATTTTTCACTTATTTAGTTTGAAAAAAATTAGAAAAGCATTAGTTTGAAATTAGAGTAGCTAACACACTGGGGGCAACGAATTAAAAAATTCAAAAGGCTAAAAATAAAAACACAAAGTATCTTTCCTTCTAGATAAAAAAGATTGTTTTCTTCCTAGAAAGCAAGAAAAGAAAAAAAAAAAAAAGGCAACTAATGATTTGAGAATAAAATCAAACATAACTGGTATTCACCACAGCAATGTCTAAATAAATGACCCACATAGCACAAAACTTTCTCATTCACAATCACATATAGTTAAGTTGCTTTTCTCTCAGTTACATAATAGTTGTCTTCAAATAATCTCCTTTTAGAAAACTATCATATTAGTTAAACCTATTTATTCTTACTGTGAAGTTATTAATTTCATTTATATAGGCCACAAAGGTTTAATTGGCACACTTTACTTAAGAATAAGACAAAATAAGTCACTCTTTTTTAAAAAAAATTATGGTAATCTATTTTCAAAGAATAATCCCAGATACTTAATTCATTAAAGCAAATTTTCCACCATCAGCAGTGAGCTTTTTAAATGATCACTAAGTGTTCACCTGAAGATTATCAATGCTATATGAAGTGCAAACTTGTTTTGAAAATTCGTGTCAATTTTATAAGATACAATTTGCACTGAAGAGTTTTGAAAAAGATAACCTACACACATACAGTTAATTTGCCTCAAACAACTTCTTAGAAATACAGTATAAACATTTAAGAACCACGACAAAGTTGTGGTTCAAACTTCAACAAAGATTTTCTCGAAACCCAGTAAAAAGATTACTGGCTCAAGACCATATCCCAAAGTGACATCAGCAGGAGATTTGATTGTAAGACTCTACCTTTTAAAAAAAGAGCACACTTGGTTATACATGGCTTTTAAACTTGAGCTACAGTTATGCTACAAATCCCCCCATCCTCCCAATCTAAAGTCAGTCATGTGGAGATATGTACATTCTCTGAGCATTGTTTAGAGTCCTTGGTTTTCCAGCTTTGATGGAGATCTAGAAGGCGTTCAGAAGTCCGTGTGCTTACATTCAGAGCAGGATGAACTTTACAAATTCCACTTTCCTCCATTAGTGACAGGCCACAGATCCCAAAGTATGCATGCAAAGCATCTGAAAAGAAGGCATTTAAAACATCATAACAGGCATTCCTGCTTGTACATTCTACAAAATATTTCAGCTACATATTTACCGGCCCATCACTCCATTAAAAGTTTAGAGAAATGCTAATATAGTTTTTAAAATATTTGCTTTCTCAAAGTCTCAAACATCAATTAAAAAAAAACCCAGATGATCAAAATAAAGTATTTTATTCATGAAAATATCATTAACAAAGGAAAACAGTTTCTAACTGAAGAGCTGATACTATCCATAACCTCTGTGATGAAAAGACAGGAGGAGCAGCAGTCATATGTAAGACTTCTCACTTGAGGGAGTTTCCCTTTTTGCTTACTACAGAACATGGAAATGAGTAGCTTCAATGCTGTATCATTAATTTTTTTTCTTTAAAATGAAAACAAAACTCTGAATCTAAGTTGCAATACCCCTTGCTCCATGTTTTGCCTCTGAAAGTTCCCAAACCATAGGCAGGACTATCCTAACACTGTGTTAAATAAAAGGAGCTTACGCAAAAATAATCCATTCTGGAATGCTGTGCCATATTTAATCCTCCTATTTAGGGTAATGTCAGTCATTGTAAAAATATCTGATCTGACAATAAAAACAAACTCACATTCTATTTGGTTGAAATAACATGAGTGCTCATACCATGACAATTCTGCACTGGCTCACTAGTTTCCCATCTTTCAGGGGGCAGTAATCCTCTTCTATTAAAGTGGCCAATGAAATCACATGGTCATTCTTGCCTAGGAGTCTTATGTAGACTTCTGAAGAGCTCAGAGCTTTGCAGTTATAGGAACACTACAAAGACAGTTTTGTACCAGTCAAAAATTTTTTTCTACTTTTGAATTGGCCAACATTTATGGCCTTAAGAGCTATTAAAGTTCAAAATAGGCTGGGTGTGGTGGCTCACACCTGTAATCCCAGTACTTTGGAGGCTGAGGAGGGTATATTGCTTGAGCCACACGAGTTTGATACCAGCCTGGGCAATATGGTGAAGCACCATCTCTACAAAAAATACAAAAATTATTCAGGTATGGTGGTGTATGCCTGTAGTTCCGGCTACTCCGGAGGCTGAGGTGGGAGGCTCACCTGAGCCTAGGGAGGCTGAGGCTGCAGTGAGGCATGATTATATCACTGCACTCCAGCCTGGGCAAAAGAATGAGACCCTGTCTCAAAACAACAAAAAGTTCAAAACATCTTACCACATCAAATTTTGTCAAAAGGGTTAAAGGAAAAGCTTTACTTACAAGAGTATCGCTTATTTTTACAAAACAGAAACGACAAATAGTTGTGCTTACTCAATGCCATTGTGAAAACGTTATTTCACTAATAGAGGCCCATGTTGATCACCTTTTAGGCCTTTTCGGAAAATACTTAGGTTTCTTCTGGCTCACTTTCCTTTGACTTTCAGACTATAAAAAATAAATTTGATTTCGCCTATAATATTACATCATTCCATATAATTATTCTAAAACTACAAAGGGTACAAAGCAACATTAAGCTGTTTTCTAGAAACCAGGAACCTTTTCTAGGAAAAATTACAACAGAAAATATACATCCATAATAACATAAAATAGAACTGTGTAATACTAAAATCTCTCTGGGTAAAGTAACAAATAAAACTTATGTTTTTCTCAAAAAGATTTTTGTAACAGCCAATGAGATCAGAACTCAATTGTTTCAAGCCTCAAATTGCTTTTTTTAAAAAACTCCTTATCTGCAGGTGGCAATGTATAAGCACTTTACATGTGGAAATATGTTTACTCCATAATAAAGCACTTTAGATGCTGAAATATATATATATTCCATAACAAAAGCTCATTCTTTAGAAATTTCTTTCATAAATGTATATAAAATCCCTTTGTGTCAAATTTGCTACTAAATTTACTAAAACCAAGAATAAGCTTAAAGAATCTCGTTAAAATGATTGTAAAGGTTCTGGGACCAGATCTTTACACATAAATTCAATTTAGCAAACACTTTCTATGCTTTCTAGTGCATACTCTGAAAACATTGTAATGTATCTGTAAAAAGTAAGTAGTACATCCAAATATTTACACAAATGTTAAAGTTAGCAACTGATCTCTCCGGAAAAAGCCTCAAGAACTTTCTTTTTAAAAAGCTATTGCAAACACTGAATGTATTTCAAGTATGTTTACATAAGAAATGTTTTCTAAGAGATTGTCATTTCCCTATTTCCATTATTTGTTAAACCAGTAGCCGCACTGACTGAAAAAATGGAATAAAGTCCAAAATAATTCTCAGTTTTCTTGAGGCACTAGAGATACAAAAAATTTCAAAATATTATTTTTCTTGAGAAATTAACTTCTGAAAACACACTTTGGCTTACAACTTTGAAAGCAATGTACAGTTTCTCTAAGAAGGCATGTTTTACTATGGATTGATTGATTTAGTCTCGCTCTGTCGCCCAAGCTGGAGTGCTATGGCACGACCTTGGCTCACTGCAACCTCTGCCTCCTGGGTTCAAGCAATTCTCCTGCCTCAGCCTCCTGAGTAGGTGAGACTACAGGTGCGCACCACGATGCCCGGCTAATTTTTTGTATTTTTAGTAGACACGGGGTCTTGCCATGTTGGCCAGGCTGGTCTCAAATTCCTGACCTCAAGTGATTCACCTGCATCAGCCTCCCAAAGTGCTAGGATTACAGGCTTGAGCCACCACACCTGGTCTTTTATTTTATTTTACTTCATTTTATTTCTTGAGATGTACTCTTGCTCTGTTGCCCAGGCTAGAGTGCAGGAGCATGATCTTGGCTCACTGCAACCTCTGCCTCCCAGGTTCAGGCAATTCTTTTGCCCCAGCCTCCCAAGTAGCTGGGATTACAGGCACTTACCACCAGGCCTGGCTAATTATTGTATTTTTAGTAGAGGCAGTGTTTCATCACCAAGTGGCCAGGCTAGTCTCAAACTCCTGACCTCAAGTGATCCGCCCACCTTAGCCTCCCAAAGTGTTGGGATTACAGGAGTAAGCCAATGCACCTGGCCCACCTTAGCCTCCCAAAGTGTTGGGATTACAGGAGTAAGCCAATGCACCTGGCCTACGAAACATGTTTTATATGAAAATACAGGCAAGTAGGGGTGTAAGGAAATATTCCTGCTCATTTCAAATACAAAAATATGATTTCAAGAGCTCCTTATTTATATTCTGATTCAAGTACACATTCCAACTATAGCAGTTCTGTGATGGAAGATGAACGCTGATACGGCACTTTCTAGGCTGATAATAAAAACCACGACTCTATTGCAATACTGGCAAAAACAATCATTCCTTGTGTCTAGTTTCATATTTGTAACTAATTCTTTACTTGCTTATCAAAAGTGTCAGTGTTTGAAATTATTTTAACACACTCTTAAATGGATTTTTATAGGGAAGCTGTATATACGGTTATTTTGCTGGAGGTGAAAACGTAAGTCGGGTGAGGTGTAGGCTACAAAATGATGGTAGAGGTGGGAGAGGAGCCAAATTTTGGGAGGGCCTTGAGTGCCATACCATTTATATTGTCTGAATCTGTTGAAATTTGGAGAACAAGAGTATGGGAAGTGAGAAACACATATTCAGGATTTGAAATATTTTATTTAATGATTTTTTTTTTTTTTTTGAGACAGAGTCTCACTCTGTCACATAGGCTGGCGGGCAGTAGTGCAATCTCGGTTCACTGGAACCTCTGCTTCCTGGGTTTAAGTGACTCTCCTGCCTCAGACTTCCACATAGCTGGGACTACAGGCACGCATCATCACACCTGGTAATTTTTGTATTTGTAGTAGAGTCAGGTTTCAACATGTTGAACAGGCTGGTCTTGAACTCCTGACCTCAAGTGATCTACCTGCCTCAACCTCCCGAAGTGTTGGAGTTACAGGCATGAGCCACTGCGCTCGGTCTATTTAATGACTTCTGAAAAGAGTAAGAACTGATTTCCTTCAGGATCGGGAGTAATTTACTATCCTTAGCTCAAGTCATGACTAATAATCCTAATGGTTTTGGATGGGCTAAATAATTCTCTTCTTTGGAAAGGACCCATTCAGACCATCTATGTTATTGATGAAAATGAAATAAAACATTACTAAGTAAAATATTTGGGAAAAAATGCACACTATACCCATGCATCTTGATAATAAACTCTTTCCTTTATACTCCCCAATACCCTAAATCTATCCTAAGCTTACACAATATACCTTTTTAAAAATAATATTTAATGTAACTTTCAAACTGTGCCTTTTTCTATCATATGCCTTTTCTGATAAAGATGCTTGAAGATCTATTCAGGAAATAAAGGTTGTTCTGGATTCACAAAGAAAATAATTACCTGGATGACTGTCTGGCCACTTGGCAAATCCCCCTACAAGGCGATCTTGAGTTGATAAGATGTAATTTCTATTTTTCTCAAAGTTAGTGTATTGGAAAATTTTTAGAAGCTGAAATGACATGACAAAACTCTTATCAACCTTTGGCTCAAATTTCAGATGTTTGTCATTTAGATATGCTTTTCTTTAGCTAAGGTGCTCAGACCAACTCTACGGGGCCTTGAGCACTTGAAATGAGTCAATCACATTATCTTTTTTATTTTCTTATCAAATCTACTCTCCTTTTCTTGACCCTCTATTTCCTTCTTCTGAATCAGGCCAACTGTACCCTTTGAAGCACATTAAGCTAAATTCAAAAGACAACTCCAATCCACTCAACATAATCAGTCATTTTAAAAAGTAAATTTTATCTACCCATATTTTAACTCTTATGATAAGCTCTTTAGCTATTAGTTATAAATTAGTAGTAATTGGAACTAAAAATATTTTTTAAAAAAAGAGCAAACAAAAATTACTAACCAGATGCTAGAGACAGTTTTGAAAATAGTAAAGAAGTATAGCTCTTTAATTAGGAAAGAAAAAGGTAAGACAAAAATGATCGCAACATAAAAAACTATATAGTTTTTAATGATTTAGGACATGTACTTGGTTTTTCTCTCAAGATCCCATAAAAGTAAGATATAAATAAGTAAATAACACTGTGAAGTTCAAGATGAGGTGCGCAGTAGGTAAGAGGGATCAAGAAATTTCTGAAGATACCAAACAATTTAATATATGTCAATGAACCAGAGAGCCACAGCTTTTAGTGACTGATGAAGAAGCATTATTTCTCAAAAAGAAAAGCTAAACTCATAAGAAAGCTATGGTACAAACAAGAAACAAATTTATTCATTTACATTGATTTAATTAATAGACTATAAGGAAAAAGGCTTTTTTGAATCTTGATGTTAGGAACATTTTCCATCAGTGGCACATTGGTCATTAAATAAAAATGAAAAAAGGATAATATTAACACTGCACTTGGCTTAGCAATAAACAATATTTGCACTATCATAATAAGTGTTGGTTACTGGTTTTCAAATTTTAGAATCAACCTATAGGCAAAGCCTGAAAGATGTGATTATTAATACTGAAAAAAAATATGAATGCTTCCTAACTTGACATTATAAAAATAAAGGTAACTTTATATAGCATTGGAAGGTAGAAGATGAGGAAAAGACTCAGAACTAAACATAACGGGTAACAATTTGTTGGAAAAGTGAGAGGCTAAATCTTAATTTCTCTTAGTTGGGAATCATCAATAATATCTAAAGGTGATAAGAAGTTAGTCTGTGATTTAAAGTTACAGAAATGTCCACAAGAATTAAAACATTTTTAAAAAGTTTAAAAGTGGTTGCTTTCAGAAAGCTGTCAAAGACTACTGACGTCAAATAAAAAAGACTTGGGACAACTTGAAAGGGTTCCTATCGACTAAAGATGGGACAATTTAAGCATAATATATATATATATATTTTAGTCATATATGACTAATATATATTATATGTATTATATATGACTAAAAAATGTTAAAATCTATGTATTCACAATGATTCTAAAAAAAAAAAACCAGAAACAAACCAAAAAACCCCAAACTCTAAAATCTAATATTTCATTGGAAAGGCTGAGGGGATGGTAGGGAACCAATTCATTTTGTTGAACACTATTAAGGGAAAGAATTCGGTATTTATCTGTCCTTCTCTGTACAAAGTATATCTCAGGGGAAGGTAAAATAATTCTTCTTTAAAAAACAATGCTAGTTAATAAATTGAGATGGAATGAAAGAATACCACTGTTTTATAACCTCTTAATGCCACAACTGATTTAAGCAATGATCCTTAATGCTTGTCAAAACTATTCTATAAAAAGTTGATAGTTTCTATAGACTAGCAATGAACAATCCAAAAGGAAATTAAGAAAGCAATTTCATTTACAACAGCATCTAAAATGATTCAATACTGAGAATTAAATCTTAATAAAAAAGTGAAAGATTTGTATGTTGAAAACTACAAAACATTGCTGAAAGAAACTGAAGACCTCCTGTATAAATGGAAAAGCATCCTGTGCTCATGGATAGGAACACTCAACAGTGTCAAGATATCACTACTACCCAAAGTGATCTACAGATTCAATGCAATTTCCATCAAAATTTCAAAAGACTTTTTTTGCAGGAATGGTAAACTCAATTACCAGATTTATATCAAATTGCAAGGGGCTCCAAATAGTCAAAACAATCTTGAAAAAGAAAAGTTGGAAGTTTCAAACTTCTTGACTTTGAAACTTACTACAAAGCCACAGTAATAAAAACAGTATAGTACTGGCACAAAGACAGCCATACAGAACAACGGAATAAAATAGGAAGTCCAGAAACAAACCTCACATATATAGTCAACTGACTTTTGACAAGGGTGCCAAAACCATTTAATGGAAAAGGGCAGTCTTTTCAACAAATGGTGCTAGGAAAATTAGATATCCAGGTGTCAAAGAATGAGGTTGGATCTTACCTTACATCACATACAATAATTAACTCAAAATTGATGAAAGGCCCAACATTAAGGCCTAAAACCGTAAAACTATTAGAAGAAAACACTGGGGAAAATCTTTATGACAGTGGACTTAGCAATAGTTTTACGGACATGACACCAACAACACAAGCAATAAAAGAAAAATTTAGATAAAATTGGACTGCATCAAAAAACTTTTGTACATTAAAGGACACCATCAACAGAGTAAAAAGGCAACTCAAGGAATGAGAAAACATTTGTAAATCATATATCTGAGAAGGGATTAATATCCAGAATATATGAAGAACACCCACAACCTTATAACAACAAAAGAAACCAGATTTAAAAATAGGCAAAGGGCTTGAATAGAAATTTCTCCCAAGAGATATACAAATGACCAATAAGTACATAAAAAGACACTCATTATCATTAGAAAAACGCAAATCAAAGCCACAATGAAATGACACTTCATATAAAAAATGGCTATTTTATATATAAAACAAACAGAAAAAACAAATGTTGGTGAGGATGTAGAGAAATTGGGACTCTCATACATTGCTAGAGGGAACATAAAATGTTGTAGATGCTGTGGAAAAGTTTGGCATTTCCTGAAAAAGTTAAATGAAGAACTACCATATGACCCAGCAATTCCACTTCTATATACATATAATACCCCTCAAAAATGAAAGCAGGGATTTGAAAATATATTTATACACCCATGTTTTTAGCAGTATTATCTGCAATGGCCAAAAGGTGAAAACAACTCAAGTGATCATCAACAGATAAATGAAGAAGGAAAATGTGGTATTTATATACAATGGAATATTATTATTCAGCCATTAAAAAAATGAAATTTTGACATATGCCATGTCATAAATAAATCCTGAAACCATTATGCTAAGTGAAATAAGCCAGAAAACAGAAGGACAAATATTGTATGATTTCACCTATATGAGGTACCTAGAATACACAAATTCATAGTGACAGAGAGTAGAGTTGAGGTTACCAGGCTGAGGGGAAAGAAGAATAGGGAATTATTGTTTAATGTGTACAGGATTTATGCTGGGTAAAATGAGAAAGTTTTGCATGGTAGTGACGATTACACAACATTGTAAATTGAATTAATACTAGTGAATTGCAAACTTACAAATGTTTAAAGTGATAAGTATAATGTGCTATGTATATTTTCAACTCTGGAGCTCTTTAATTAAAAGGAGAGATAATTGGATATTACATGCCTCTTGGTGTGATACAATAGGAAATATATGTGATACAATAGGAAATCACTGGATATTTAATGATAATAAGCAATTATGGCTAATTGTTTAGATGTGATGACACTAGGGTTCTGTTTTTTTTTTTAAAGTTATTTTCATTTAGAGATTACATTAAAAATTTTCCAAAGAATATAAAAAATGCTATCTGGGATCTGCTTTAAAATAATTCAGTGAATGGAAGGGAATTAGTTAGAGTATAGATAAAGAAAGGGTAGCTTCGGGTTGATAATTGTTGAGATGGTTGATGGACACATGGGTGTTCATTACACCATTCTCCCTGCTTTTGAATATGCTTGAAATTTCCCACAGTCAAAAAAAAATTGAAATGATGAACCTGAGAAATAGTACTCCAAGTGAGGAGAGACAGGGAGACTACTGTCATCATTTTAAATCATTCTTTTCCCAATGTTTTTCAACCTTATACATAAATTTTAAGAGAAAAATTTAGGATATTACAGAGAAGACAAACATGGACTCCTCTAACAGACTCCTGTTAGATTGCAGAATATCAGAACAAGGTGACAATTCTTAAAGATAAAAAGGCAACTTTAAAATAGAGAAAACTTGTGTGTATTTAGTGACTAAGTAACCTTACAGAATTAGGTATATTAAAAGGTAATAGAGATGGGAAAAAATGTGCTGGCACGTCAATTGATGAGTTTCAGAAGGTTTAAACAAATAAATAATAAAAAAGTCCCTACATGGTTTTTGAAGAAATGACCCATGGTTTGTCTTTTAAGATTAACACCTTCCCATAAAACCTTTACTGGTATCATTTTCAGACAGATCCCTGATTTACATGAACTAGTCAGTTCCAGTTACAAGTTTTTTATTGCCTTACATCTACAAGAAAGTAAGTATTTAATATGTTCTATATAAGGTTTAAGTAGGCATAAAACTCAAGTTCTGAGTTACCTGAGTTTTCTAAGAATGAAAATTTTCAAGCAGCACAAAAGATCATTGAATTCTATGGAAAAACCATAGAAAGACTAGCTTTGGCAGAGCAAAAGAGAAAATCCAGTACCCTAAACCTAACAATATTTAATACACATTACAAAGACCAAAACTTTTTAGCACAATTTATATGAACACAGAATATAGGTTTCTCATTTTTTATTATTTCTCTTACCTTTAGAGTTGCTCCCACCCAAAAAGAATAACAGGTGTCTACAGGCTTATTGGGTCTTCCATGATAACCATTTTGTTGCCTCATTATACACCACCTCTTTATTCTGTTCAACTCTTTTTCTGAAAAAACTTCTTCTAGTTTACCCATCAGACATAGTGAGGCAATGCCACAAAAAGTAGATCCTCCTGTTAATCAAAACCACACAATGTTTTAAACTTCAAATTAGATGCTTATGAAAACAGTACAGAATGTTCGAGGGGAAAAAGTGGTTATATAATTCTAGAAAATAGTGAATAAAATTTAAATTTAAAAGATGAGATTTTAAAATAACCACTATACACAAGTCTTCAATATTTGATAAAACAGAGAATAACATAAAGCTATAAGAAACATTTTACTTATGAAAAAAAGTAGTAAGACTTGGAACAAGACTAAGGGACTTGTTTAAAATTACACAGTTAATGGCAGATTTGGAACTAAAATCTGGGACTACTAACTCCCTGTCCAGAACCCAATCACTTGAAACTGATTTTTAAGTCCCTTAAAGACAGTATATTGCTGATGAATTGAGGTTCCATCACCCCTAAGCTATAGACAAGTTTTCACACATAACATAAACAACTTAGAAGCTGATATACAGATATTACAACTAGTCAGCTTAAGAATTTTAAGGAAGTAGTTTACAGTCCCACCAACAGTGTAAAAGTGTTCCTATTTACTAGTTCAACCATTGTGGAAGACAGTGTGGTGATTTCTCAAGGATCTAGAATTAGAAATACCATTTGACCCAGCCATCCCATTACTGGGCATATACCCAAAGGATTATAAATCATGCTGCTATAAAGACACATGCACATGTATGTTTATTGCAGCACTATTCACAATGGCAAAGACTCGGAACCAACCCAAATGTCCATCAATGATAGACTGGATTAAGAAAATGTGACACATATACACCATGGAATACTATGCAGCCGTAAGAAAGGATGAGTTCACGTCCTTTGTAGGGACATGGATGAAGCTGGAAACCATCATTCTCAGCAAACTATCACAAGGACAGAAAACCAAACACCGCATGTTCTCACTCATAGGTGGAAACTGAACAATGAGAGCACTTGGACACAGGGTGGGGAACATTACACACCGGGTCCTGTCGTGGGGTGGGGGGGCTGGGGGAAGGATAGCATTAGGAGAAATACCTAATGTAAATGACGAGGTAATGGGTGCAGCACACCAACATGGCACATGTATACATATGTAACAAACCTGCACGTTGTGCACATGAACCCTAGAACTTATATTAAAAAAAAAAAAAAAAAAAGAATTTTAAGGAAGAAAAGAATGGTGGGGGATGGGGGTGGTAGGAAAGAGAGAAACCAAATATGAAAGCAGATGCACAGCATTACTTCAAAACGTACTCATACCCACTGCGTAGGCTGAATAATGCCTCCCCAATATTTAAGTCCTAATCCCTGGAACCTGTGAATGTTACTTTATATGGAGAAAGAGGCTTTGCAAATGTGATTAAGTTAAATGATCTTGAAATGGGGAGATTATTCGGTATTATCTGGGTGGGCCCTAACTGTACTCACAAGAGTCATTACAAGAGGAGAGAAGGAGATTAGACTAACAGAGAGGTGGCAGTGGGTACCACTGCCAGGTGGCAATGCAACTATGGTGCCAGCGATTTGAGTGTTGTAGCCAAAGGCAAGGAATGCCAGCAGCCACTAGAAGCTGGAAAGAATCAAAGGACAGATTCTTCCCTGGAGCCACTGCTGGCGAAAGAAGCCAGCCCTGTTGACATCTTGATTTGAGCCCTGTAATTCTCGGCTCAGGCTTAGTCACAGATGTATAGCTCTGGCCAGAAGTGGAGAGAATAAATTTGGGTTGCTTTATGCCCCTATATTTGTGCCAAAATGTTACAGCAGCGATAGAAAACTAATTAATATACTCACAAAGGTACTTTCCTCAGGAAATGAAAAGTCAGTATTTTTCCATATAAGAAAAGAAACAACACTTTTTACTGGCACTATTTGTTGTCAACTCCAAACAATTTGAATACACTTATACTTGACTTCACCTAGTGATTTTTAATAATTTTAGCAATTTAAATGTCTTGTTCCTAATATATCTCATGCCTTAACTATCCTTTTGGTGTTACAAATCTTGAATGTATTCTCTGGCAAAGGAAAGGTGAGCATTCCCTCTAGAAAACTCAAGGTAGCTATCATATTAGAAGTGTTACAGTCAGCTAGGAACTATTTAATTTTCAGAATTAGCTGGGACATCTATATTACTCTTGAGTGAATCAAAAGAAAAGCTAAAAAAAATTTATTGCAACCTTTTAAAATAATTTCTATTAAGCAACTATTAATCCTATTTCCTTTCCAAATGACTCATTAGTTTCAATTTTTCTTTCATAACCAAGTCATGACTTCAAGTGTTATTACATCATTAAATATAAAGTCTCTAATAGACAGTAAGTAACCTTTAAAACTCCCAAAAAGTAAAAAGAGGCAATTAAGAATTACTCTCCAAACTACCTATTAGGACTACTTAATGCAAGCTGGCACAACTCAAAGAAAAAACACTCTTTACTTTGTCCAAACTAATGGATTTTGAAAATAGTAACTACAGAAGTTTGGACACTGGGTTGCCAGAAACATTTATAAAGTCTAAGATTAAACTAACATTCATTTACCAACAGGTAAGCCTGTTGCTCCAAAAGTCTCTTGTTTTACACAAATCTCTAAAAAACTAGTTATAAAACCCCGTATAAAAACTAGTATGTTAGGCTGGGCATGGTGGCTCATGCCTGTAATCCCACCACTTTGGGAGGCCAAAGTGAGAGAACTGCTTGAGCTCAGGAGTTCGAGACCAGCCTGGGCAATATAAGGAGACCCCTGTCGCTACAAAAAAATATTTAAAAAATTGGCCAGGCGTGGTGGTGTTCACCTGTGGTCCCAGCAACTTGGAAGGTGGCAGTAGGAGGATCGCTTGACTGCACCCCAGCCTGGGCGACAGAGTGAGACCATGTCTCAAAAAAAAAAAAAATAGTAGTATGTTAGAAGAGTGTTAAAGGCAGACATAGAATCAAGAAGAAAAGAGAAGTGACATCTTGATAATAAGTAGATTACAAAATACTATTTAAAAACAGGCACAAGAACTAAAATGGAGTATCTTTTTGGGGCTAGATGTCATTAGATCAATGATCTGTACACACTTCAAAATACTTCAAGCATATTATATCATATATTAAAAGTACAATACTAGAATTGCTCTTTATTACAATGATTTGAGTTCATCAAGAAAAGGTGAAACTGTGTTCATTAAGCCTTAGTTGAAGACACAGTATGAACAAAACTTTAAGGATAATAGTAAGAATATTGAGGCAAATACAAATAAAAGAATAAGAAAGATTTTCATCTGAAATGGTTAAAAGTTTGCCACCTACGTGATGTGCTTCAGTTACATGGAGAATTAGCATATGCAGAATACCTCAGTCATAAAACATCACAGATGGAAGGGACCATAGAGACTCTCTCTTAACCTACCCCAATTCTACCAAGTGCAGGGTAAAGGAGGTGTTCCTGACTTCAGCTCTGTTATGTCATGATCTACTTATATTTTAACAGTGTTTAACAGTTGTAACTTATTTTGCTCCCACAGGTTTTCCAGTTCAGTTTTAGATATTCTCTTAGTACTTGTATATACTAAGTTATCAGAAAAGAATCCATGTCCTCTGAAACTTAAGGTAGTCAACAATCATATAGCTAAAGTAGAAAACTAAATAAATAGGCACATAAATAAGCACATCATTTTACAATTAAACACCATATTAAAAAGGTGAAGTAATTTTTTTTTTTTTTTTGAGACAGGCTGGAGTGCAGTGGCATGATCTCAGCTCACTGCAACCTCCGCCTCCTGGGTTCAAGCGATTCTTGTGCCTCTGCCTCCCGAGTAGCTAGGATTACACGTGTGTGCCACCACGTTTGGCTAATTTTTTTTGTATTTTTAGCAGAGATGGGGTTTCCCCATGCTGGCCAGGCTGGTCCTGAACTCCTGATCTCAAGTGATCCACACACATCGGCCTCCCAAAGTGCTGGGATTACAGGCAGAGCCACCGTGCCTGGCCAAGTGATATAAATTCATGTGCGTTGAATATTTAGATTTAACATTTATCTTTATATAATTAAGAAGTAGAGATATTTTAAAAGAATCATGGAACCAAATTAATTTATCTGAACTTCTGCATTATGAATCCTCAGTTGGCGGGGGTAGGCGGGGCAGCGAGAATAGTTTTATCTCTAACAAAGCAGGAAAATTCAATTCTTCCAAAACAAAAGGAACATTTTACCCTAAAACTGTACAAGACGAGCATCCCTAATCCAACATTCTGAAATCTGAAATGCTCCCAAATCTGAAACTTTTTGAGTACCTGCATGACATTCAAAGGAAATGTTCACTGGAACATTTCAAATTTCTGATTTCTAGATTAGGGAAGCTTAATTGGTAAGCATAATGCAAATATTCCATAATCCAAAACACTACTGGACTCAAGTATTTTGGATAAGGGATACTCAACATGTACTATCTTAAGGGAATCATGGGGATAAAGAGAATCACTACATTTGATGATCATGGCCTAAAAGGATAAAATATATCTGTTTAGTTTTCATGAAAAATGGGCTCCAAGCTAAGCAACAGTTGGAGAATAGTAGTTGAATTAAAAAATATATATATATATAAAATGATATTTAAATTGGGGAATGAGAAAGGCACATGAAGAAACTAAATTAATAACAAAATGTAACAGAAATACACCTTCCAAATTCAACTTTCCAAGCAAGAGATGCAAAGTGGAATACAGGATAACTAATTCATCAAATAGTACAGTGTACAAGGGCATATGGAATAAGACATGAATGACCAACTTACAGTCCAGCAAAGATAAACAGAGGTAAGTACCATAAAAATGGCATGAATTAAGTATTATGGGAATACAGAAAAGGGAAATATTGCTCAGAACTAAGGGAGACAAAAGATGATGAAATGTTTTACAGAGAAGGTGACACTGGAAGCCCTGGAACCAGGTATAGAAAGATAGATTAAACTCTTGACAGTTATGAAAAGAGAAACAAGCAGAAGCAGGTGGAAAGGAAGCATTTCAAGCAAAGGAAAAGGAATATTAGCAACGTCCAGAGGTGAAAAACCACATATAAATGTTTGGAGAGTATATTTTCTTATAACCTAGAGTGCATGGAAGGGGTCACTCAGATGTGGGTCTACAAAGTTAGACTGAAATCAGATTACAGACAAATAAACTAAGGGACTTAAATGCAGGCAGGACAAGATTACTGAGCAAGCACAGGGTTTTAAAGTGGGTTATGACACTTACCTGATATGTGAGCCTACTAAGCAAGTGACTTCTCTGAGTGAAATAACAGTAATTATTGTGGTTTTGTACTGTGTCAACTTGGCTAAGCTAGAATTCTGTTTCCCAGGATCCACTTCCCTGTATGGTCAAAAGTTAGAGAAATCTGTGTGAGACTTGTAAGGTGGAAGTTAAGTAGCACTCATTACCCTGGTTATGGTTAGAGGAGATAAGCAACAAAGGCAGTGGTGCTAAGTCCAGCTTGCCCTTATTCTCCCATAAACTTGGCATCCAAATCCTTCTTACTCTTGCCCTGGTTACGTCAGGCCCACATACTGTGAAGGAGCACCAGCCCTTCACAGACTTATCCACAATCTGGCAGGTGACTGTGTCTGGCTTTCTAGATTTCCCTATGTGGCCTGACCTGTCCACCCGTGCCACTGATTCAGAAGGCTTGTCAATGATTTTCCCTGACCCTCCAACTACCCCTTTTATCTTCTTCCACAATTGTGTATAAAATATTTCTATTACAGCCTTTATTCTTTAATACTCATAGTGGTTTTACTTCTCTGAGTTCTAAAACAAAAATGTCTATTCTCAGAGGGTTGATATGAGGATTCAATGAGACTGTATGTAAAGTATCAGATGGTAGTGGGCACACAGCAGCTGGTTAATAAATACATTATTTTCCTCTTAGTCTGTAGATCACGGATTATAAATTGATAATTTATGGACGACAACTGGTGTAACTGGCAAATTAAAAACAAAAATAGAAAAGGAGATTAAAATTAAACTCAAAATTCTGGATTGCTGGAATCCCCCGGCCAAAAAATATTTTTAAAAATCAATAAATCTATGTTAGCTCTGAATAGCAACAACAGGCTGAAGAGGAGAATGATGGTTTTAAAAATATGCAGTTTGAGATACTGAAGTCATATCGAGAAAGATGCCTGGCAAGCAAATGGAAAGGGGGCTATGCAGCACAGAAGCAACAGTACAGATTGGGAAACACAGTTTTGGGTGCCATCAACACAGAGATAATTAAAAAAGAACCATCTGTTAGTTTGTTCAACTATGTGCCAAGCATGTTACAGGTGCAGAGGATACATCAGTGTGTAACACAGGCAAAAATCTCTGTTCTCATGAGGTTTAAGTGAGAAGCAGCAGACAAAAAACAAATAGATAAAACATAGGTCATTTATAAAATAATAAGTGATATGGAGAAAAATAAATCTAGTAAGGGGGTTAGAGAATGGGATGTGTATGTGTAGTTTGTTCGGAATTCTATTATAAATACTGCAGGTGTATCTGGGTGGTTTGCAATTTTAAATCAGGAGCTTGAACCAAGATCTGAAGGATGTGAAAGAAAACCAGGTGTATGCTGGGGGTGGAGGATGATGGAGGAAGATTCTACATACAAGGAACAGCACATACAAAAGCCTTGAGATTTAGGAAGAATTATCAAAAGAAAAGAAAGCTGAACTGAGGTAAAGAAATGAGAGGAAGAAACAAAGATGGTGAAGGAACCAGAAGTAATTCATGAGGAAGTAGCACAAGTGGAATGCGATGTTTTAAGAAAGAAGGGGGGAGGTTAATAGCTCAAATGCTTCAATAAATATAAGATGAGGAATGAGAAAGATATTGGATTTGAAATACAGATCACTCATGACTTTCAAAGACAAACTTCCTAAGTTCCTGAAGGCTTACACAGAGAATGACAGAACAAGTCATTTGTGAAGAAAAGTGAATAGTACATTTGGACCACTTTTCCAAAGACAGTAACAATAAAAAAGAAAAAGAGAGAACACAGTGACTTGATGGGGTGGCCAAATTGTAGGACTTTTTAGAAAGAGGTTTCACTTGCTAGTATAGATAGTGATGAGAGGGGGAAAGAAAACTAAACCAAAATCCTTTAGGGTAGCACTTCCCAGCCTATCTAACTTCATAGCACACAAAGAAAATTAAAATATTTGGTATTTGTAGGCCATACTGTAATACTGAGGAAGATGCTCCTGGCCAGAGACAACCTTACCAGGGACTCCAGATACCCAGGTGCTGCTTGGTTGTTCCAAAGGCTGAAGGGGCTCTATTTTGGTATAATAACCTATTTAAGATATACAAATACACTGTGACACTCTGATTAAAAGGCCTTCCTCTAAGGCTTTTAGGCCTCAAATCTACCAAGCCAAAGTTACAGATAGAGGGAAGATACAAGCTTTAGGGCACGAACTATAGTCCATCACTAATGACCCTAATGGGTACAGCCTACTCAAGTCATACCAATTCAAAATCATGACTTGTATAACTCAGGAAGATTTTTTCCTGACAGGACCCATTAGACAGTGTAATGTTTGGGAAGCCCCTCTGTTTCATTATACATTGGAATATAATTCCAATGTCTTGGAAAGAATATCAACTGTATTACAGGTGAGGTGACTCCTCAGCCAGAGTGTACATTAATACCACCTACAATAGTAAACACCAGATCCTGTCTTCTCAGAAATTCTTAGAGCTACCAGATTTCCTTTTTGTACAACTATAACTACATCCCTCTTGATCATGTGGCGATGACTAGTAACATAATTGTTACTGCCAGCTCCTCCCACCCTCCATCTCATAGACTCAGGCACATACAAAAACTACGGTGTCATAATTATAGTATGGCTTCAGAGGACAGTGTTCTATATACCCCTTAGAGACACATAGTCTACAACTACCTAAATTTAAGGAGGGAGTGAAGAGGTGAGAAGAGGAGGAAATACTTGATAGGACAAAATCCCAGAGTATATACAAGGCTATGGGGTTAAGGAATATTTGTTAGAAATATCTTTTTATACAGGTTTTATGATTTACAAATCACTTTTCCCCATATCTCTTATAATCCTAATAACAATCCTAAAGAAAGATGCAATCCTTTCTACTCGATTGATGAGGAAACCCTTAGAGAAATTAAGTGAGGAGCCAAGGTCACTCAGTTGGTGTCAGGGCTGAGACCAGAACACTGCTCTGTTCTTTCTGCTCCATTATGCTAGCAAAGGGATAGAGATAACAAATAATCATACAGAAAACTGTTGTGATGAGGAGGAAACTGAAATTCACTCAGAGAGGCTCCATGACCTGGCCTCTTCCTTTTCAGAAAAGAAGAATGGAAGCTTATTTATTTCCAAATGGAAATTTCAACTTGAGAGAACTCAGGCTATTGATGTGCTGACAAACTTAGTGACTATCACATTATTCTAGTTCTTCCAAAAGTGGAAAAAAACACGAAAGAAAAGACTGTATTAATGTTTGCACTAAATATAAGCTAAGCAGCAAAATGTTTTATGATTATGACTAATAATTTTATTAAGGAAGGTAAATAAAAATTTTCATTTCTTCATGAACTTGTTCATTCATATTTAATATTCTATATTTGGTCTAGCCTTTTAGAGTTATGCCAAAGAAAACCTGTTGTTTTCTAACAATAGAGTAAGAAACAATCCAAAGATATTTTCATGCAGCTAACACCTGAATAGATTACTAGAAAATATCATATGAACATCCCAGCCTGAGTAATACCTGAATGATAACTGACCAAAGAGGCTTCAAATATACAAAATGGTGTCAAAAGAGAATCAGAAAAGTGACAAAGAAGAAAATTATGCTGCACCAAGGGTTGAGAAAAACTTCTGAGGTTCTCCATACTGAAGACACCAAGATGTTGTCTAAGGGAACAAAAGAAACTACATGTTCACTTATTTAAGATGTCTTACCATGAGATTCAAGTCCAGCTCCCTGTGCCAGTCCATTGTCATAGGACTGAAAAAGAAAAACATTGTTCAGTTTAATAGGGAAATAATAATGATAATAATAAATGAATAAATAAGTTGCCATTGCACTAAGTTTGTGGTCTCTTCTAATTTTATTTCTCCTTTGTATCTTCCAAAATATGTGTTTTTCCCCATGGAGAATAGAATTAGGCATTTTCAAATACCTGATTTTGTCTTCTTATTCACCAAGCCAAATCACTAAATGTATACACTAGGCACATTCTGAGAATAGATTGTTCAAAGTTATCTACATATTCAATCTCAATTCAATAAAAGCTCCAAACCTTACTCCTTTACCATTGCAAGTATGCATGAGTTGGAGGAAAATATAAGGATTTCCCACTGATAGAACATTATAAACATGAAACAAGTCTATTTGAGGCAGTCTGGGGTCACTGAGAATAATGATAGCCATTACTGGGTACCATTATTTGAATCTCCCCACATACACTCCAAAATCAAAACAGAAGAACAGTAAAACTTTGAAAACTCAAACCTTAGCAAGCAAGAAGACACACTCAAGCTTCAGATTACCTGTCTACAGAAAAAGAAACATCAAATCCCAGCAAGCCATCTATTGCAACTCTGACACACCTTTGCAGAGAGCAAGGGTGATTTATGAAAAATCATGAGGAGGGGAGCTAACAGTAGTTCCGAGACTGATCTAAAATCACTGCCTAAAAGAGAAAGTCCACCCTAAATATGAGAAATACAGGCAATTCTCACTTTGCACAGTTCTCTTATGCACACATTACAGTTGCCATGGTTTAGCTAAGTACACAACAAACTTCAGTAACCACAGCAGCATATTAACTGCAATTGCAGAAAGTACAAAACTCCGTTACTGGCTCTTCAGTCTGCAGATCACTACATACATAAGAGATGTGCATCATGATCAGTGATCAATCACACCACCTTTTTCAAAGTCTGTTAGGAATTGGCCATTGCACATGTTATTCAGTTCACACACAGATAGCAGATGTGGTTGTGCTCTTTGTCTCTTAGTGATAAACCCACATGATGTTTTATTAAAAGGCATAACAGAAAGGGGCTTGGCCAACAAAGATGAAAGTGCAGTAAAGAAATAAAAAGCATTAACACTGGGTATGAAATTAAAATTAGAGTTATAGAAGAAATAGCTATTACGGGGAAGTTGATAATATTGCTGTTTGAGACTCTAGATATACAGTCAGAAGAACTAAGTGAAGGTGAAACATCTATAAGAAAGGGAAGGGCTTGTGATAAAAAAAGATGAAGATGTTCTAGGGAACTGCTATGGGCAAAAAAAACTTCACATAAAAGGAATTCTCAGAGGTTTCACAACACTGAAAACACAAAACATACGTTGGAAGCTGACAGAAGCTTAGATTGTGGTCATTTGCCTACACACAGAAAAAAGACTCCATCTTATAACTTATATAATGAGAAGGGGGCAATATTCTCAATATTTCCAATGTTTAAAATTATAGTATACGATATACTGATTTTACTATCTAAAACGTTATAGTATACTATATGCTGATTTTACTATTTAAAACATTATACATTTATAACTGACAGGAAGAGTTTTCAATGTTTTGACAAAAATTTTAAAGGTCACAAAACAATCATAATTTTTCCCATTGATGATTAAAATCACTGTGTATCATTTCGGCTTGTGTGGTTATCATAGCATGGCACTATCATGCAAAATGAGGATAGCCTATTCTGAAAGAGGCCTGGCAAACACAGTATTGGCTATATGGAAGGCACTTAAAAGAATGTGCAAGTCAAGGTGGCAGGGCTCAAATTTTGCTGAAGAAAATTAAAAACAGAGGGAGAAGCCCTTTGAAAATCAGGTAATAAAGGATAACTCAAAAGAGCAAAATTCAGATACCTGAGAAACAAAAGAGAACCGTTTTCCTACCATAAAAATCATGGAACATCCCAGCTACAAAGAAAAGCTACCCGTTAAAGAAAGCATACTTCATTACAATGAAGAGAACAATCTTAAACTAGGAATTCTTCTAAGAAAAAAAAAAAAAAACTCCATAAAATTACTAACATACAAAGTAACTCTGAGATGAAAACACAGCAAATGAAATGAAAACACCTAAGTATATAAAAATCTGCCTCTACTCCCAAGAAGTAGGCATGAATCAGAAGAAAACTGTAATGTAGCACTCCACACTCAAATACATATCCTCAAACAAGCATTTGGAAATAAAAAAGGAAATTAAACGTTAAAAACAGATGAACAAACAACAGAAATAAAAAGAGAAATAGTGTTAGAAAAGAAATAGAAGAAAAAGACAAAATAAGAAATAAATTCTAAATTACAGGATGACTAAGGAAGAATAATCTCAAATGAAAATACAACAAGGGACACTGAAAAAAGCAGAAAACAGCCAAGAGAATAAAAATGAGATAAATAAGTCAAAAAGGTCAAAGAGAAAGTGGCTGAAAAGAAGGTCAGGCAAAAAAAAGAACAGACACTAAAATGGAATTCCTAAAAAAAAAAAAAAAAAAGAAAAAAAAAAAGAAAATGCAAAATAATGGACTAGAACTAGGGGTCAGCAATGGCCCAAAGGCTAACTCTGGCCTGCAGTCTGGATTTGTATGGCCCTCGAGTTAAGAAAATGGTCAATTACACTCATAATAAAGGAAATAATAAAATGAAAAATCATGAGAGGAGGGGAGCAAAATTAAAAATATACTGAAATATCATTTTTTGACCACCAGAAAAAAAGGTAAAAACAAAGAAAGTATAACACTTTTTACTGGTGAGGCTATGTGAAAACAGGCACTCTCCTATATTGGTGGGAAAACAAACTGGTCTATTCTTTTTGGAGAGAAAATGGGAAATCTCTAATAAAATTACATATGCATTTACCTTTTGATCAAGCAATTCCACTACCAGAAATTTACTCTGAAGATGTATCTATAACAATATATAAATATATATGCAAAAAGTTATTAATTACAGCATTATTTGTAATTGCAAAATATATGCTCTAAATATAGAATTGCTGGAAAAAACCATGGTGCATTCACACAGTGGAGTAATATAATAGGAAACTATAAGAAAAAGAGAAAAATCTCTCTGAACTGATAAGGAGTAATTTTCACATTGTACTGGTGGTTTTTTGTTTGTGTTTTTTCCTCCCAAGCTATACTGTTACGTGAAAAAACCAAATAGCAAAAAAAGAGTATGGTATGCTACCTTATGAAGAAAGAAAAAGCATTAAAAATATATGTATCTTCTCATCAGTAAGAAATGGAAGAAAGATAAACTGAAAACTAATGACAATGGTTACCTACAGGGTGACAGGGAACAAGATGTTAAGTATGGGAGTTAAGAAGAGGGTGGAAGACAGGGAGGGTGAGGGGCAAGGAGTCATACTTCTCTGTATGTATCTTTTTGTATAGTTCTGAAGTTAAGAACCAAATTAATTTTTCACATATTAAGTAAATAAATAAAGTCAAAGTTGTGGGCAGAAGAGAGCTAAAAGTGAAGGGAAAGCCTAAAATGGAAATCAAAGACAAACAAATAACCTACTTGTATTTCAAGCAGATAACATAACCATATTAAAGGAGGGAAATAAAATAAGTAACTGGAGTACTTCTTAAATATAGTATTCTGACTATATGCCCTCAGACTCAAAACAAAAAGAACCAACATATTCTGGGTAATAGGAGCCGGGATTGCTTGTCACTTTCAGAGAATGGAGTCACAAATGAAAGGACGAAAGTTAAAATGAGCCCTGTGGTGTTAGACTGAAATTTGAGGCATCACGATATTCATGGTTTTAATATATAGATACATAAATAGACACAGAAATATAGATTGTGTGTGTCTGTAAGGGGATGCCTATGTATGCATACATTTCCTATCTCTGCCTGAGAAAAGGCCTAGAAGTAATGACATCTCAATACCAATGAGCATACCTAGTACCCAGATTCAAGTTTCTAAACTCTATCCTTCAACAAGAATAACCAAGGCTCCTCAAAGAAATGACTGATTCCAGAGCTGAGGATGGAAAAGTAGAAGATAAACCTGGAATATCTTGTGCCAGAAAGCAAGGAGGTCTTCAACATGTCAAAAGGGCATAGAGCCTACTTAAAGGGGTTCCCCCAGGCCTAATCTGGGGCAATCTGAGCATCAAAATAATGACAGTAACAGATAACAACCCATTGAATAAAATTAGAAACTAAAGTCCATAGAGATATAAATAAGTAAGTACAAGTAAATAAATAAATGAAGGCAAAGAGAAAGTTTTTTTCAAACAGTAGAATTTTAACTGATATTTATAGGAAGGATGCGAGAGCTGGAGAGCTGGAAAACGTTCAATGCATACTAACAACACTATTGGATAAAAATTTGATTAGGGACTCACTGAATATTTACAGTCTCCAGATATCTCACCACAAGATATTCAGTAATTACAAAGGGAAAAGTACTAACTTCACAGAGAAAACTCTGGCATATGCCATCTTAGCCAAGTGAGCAGACATAGGGCAAATCAACTTCTGCACCTCCAAATACAGTGCACTGAGAAGCCAGTATTACTTCTGTAGCATTCAAACCAAAAATTCTTATCACCCACCCTCCTATCAAACATAAATCTCTTTTCCTCTTAAAACTCCTTTAATGGTCTCTTCTTTCTGTATCCACAGGCTTTTTAAAATTTGTGCTGTTGTAGATTCTACAAAAATCTGATCCACAGTTACACATTCACTTAAATGCAACTCCATTCTTCTTAGGAACTCATAGACATTTTCACTTTGAAATACTGCCTACGAAAAGTTGAATTAACAGCCTAAAATATTCTAACAGCCTCAAAATATTCTAATCTATAAAATGAAACACTTCATTTGGAAAATAATAAACCTGTGAAGCAGTAGTTTTATTTCTCCTTTTATACAGAGATGACACAGTACAGCAAAGGATAGTTCTGCTGAGACTAAGCTTTCCTTACTAATGCCAATAAAAAGTCTCATCAAAGATAACATAATCTTCCAGCTTGCTTGTCAGGACTCTCTACTAACTCCTGCTAGAATAAGCTGTCAATATTTGACTTTCAGATTTTACTTCTTTTTCTTTTAAGTCGATCAATCCCTTTCTTATAAAGATACTGCTTCTTTAAATAAAATCATATTAAATTTTAATGGTCAAGGAGTCAATCTGTACTTCATTTCTTTATTGTGGTCTGATACACAATTTACCTAAAAAGCAATCTTAGTGCTCTCATTTTCAAATAGTTCGTGGAAGACATGAGACATACACTATAATACAGCCCTCATGTACCAGCAAAAACAACCTAAATAGTCAATTTTATCAATAGAACTCACCATACTTCTTCTAATATAGGTGATGGCCTTTTTCATATCCATGCCTGACCAGTTGTTGAGCATATAGCAAATACAGGAAGCACAGTACACAAATCGCATGTCATTTTCACTGCCTTCAGGTACTGCACAAAAACTGAAAATAATAACAACAGTATGATTTTCTATTAACAATGGACTCTGATTTTTTTTGCATGGGGGTTAGAAACACCTCCTGTGTGTCTTTACTTACAGAAAAATCTGTTGATTATTCCACTTTTATTATTCAATAAAGAATAAGACTACTAACTTAAATAATATTAAACTTTCTCTAAATCATCATTCTAGTACAAACTTTTGATTTCTTGGTCATTTTACACACTACCATGTTACTCCCTCCCAGATGCTTACTCAACATACGCTTATTTGCTCCCAGCCAGGGACAGCTGCAGTAGACTGGCTTGAGAATGGCAGAAAATGTAAAAGGTAAAACCTGAGACCCACTGGGTAGTAAGAAATTTCCAAGCCCAAGTCTTTCTACGTGAAATTTCTTCTAAATGTATACACAGATAACCATTTAATCGATTGATCATACTGTATTTTAATTTTACACATTAGTTGTATAGAAGTAGCAATCTATGTTGTGTATGTATTTATAAACAAGAATAAGGAAGCAATAATCAAAGGCTACTCTGAAATATTGAGACATAAGCCATATATGTACTGGCTGAAGTAAATATTTAGTTTCATAGTGTTTCCAATTAATGTCAATTTATTCTAATTGTCTACATTTATTTTTCCCTCATCAAGAGCAGTGTTTTGAAAACACTGACAGGAAAACAGAGCTATTAGTAGATGGAACACAAAGAGTTAACAGCACAGCAGGATTTGTTTGCAGTCTTTTCCTTAGCCTTTTCACTACTGCTTTATCCCTTCTCAGACTTAAAAATCTTTTTCTACCTTAAAGCTCCAGGAAGATTCATCTGTAGACATACCACGTGAATCACCAAATATTAATGAACATATGAACTCCTTTTTTTATTCTTTAAAAACGTCAGAGAAACTACCCTACCTACTCTGGAATATAATATTCAATGTTCACCCCTTTCTTCCCTAATCAGCATAAAGCAAAGAACTGAAGTTCAGACTAAACATATACGTCCTTCAAAATATCAATTTTTCATCTAGAATGTAAATTAGATTCCAATCCTGAAATTATTCGACCATTTATTTATGTACTCATTGTTGTTAAGAAGAGAAAGGTGTTTGGCTATTGTAATTATTTTTATTTTCACTCACAGAAGAAATCTTGGGTCACTTTTTTGATTACGCACTTTATCATGTACCTTGTAAGCTTTAGGTGGAGTTCTAACAATAAGAGTATGATCCTCTAAAGATCTAGTATAGTATTGTATCCATTTTTTAGTTCCAAAATATTTTTTTTATTACAAAAAAAGTAACAAAGAATCACTCATACCTCCCATCTTCCAGCTGGAGGGCTCTCAAGCCTGCTAAGCAAGCTTCTTTATTTACTCGGCTTAAGTCGTCTCCAAGAATAACTAAGCATGAAAGGCCAGTGTAAGTCATTGCTATGTGGCCACTATCATAAGGATGAGCTGTTCCAGGAGCCTAAATACAAAATTAATATAGTACTAATTAATGAAGTGATATGAAAACTTATTTCATTAAGAAATCTGACATAAGGTTTTAGTAAATAGTAAAATTAAATGTGGCTTATACTGATTTGTATAGACATCTTATTGAGAAAAACAAATCTCCATTTTATATATATCTCAACATGAATATGATTGAATACATTCCAGGCTACCTAATTTTTAATTCTTTGATACCTCAGGCATTATGGAAGTAGTGATGATATTCAGGTAAACCAAATTATTTATTACTTTTTTTTTTTTTTTTTTAGTAACAGCGTCTTATCTGTCACCCAGGTTGGAATGCAGTGGTGCAATCATAGATCACTGCAGCCTCCAACTCCTGGGCTCAAGTGATTCTCCCACCTCAGCCTCCTGGGTAGCCGAGACTACAACAGGCATAAACCACCATATCTGGCTAAATGACTTAAACCTCATTCTTACTCCTTAATCTGTCTCCTAGACTCTCAGCCACCACTCTGACAGCTCTATGTGATACCACTTGGAATATCTAGTTTCTTTTACCACCCAGAATTCAGATGAAGGTAATACAGCATGAAGTGAGACCTAGCTTGCCTAGAAGATATTAGGGTCCAGGTGAATGAAGGTCCAAAAAGGAGTTTCAGGAGAGTCTGTGAACCAAGGGCAATAATGGTTTCTTCTTCAATTTTACTCCTGTTATTTTGAAAATGTTTTGGTGCAGGCGTCGGTTGGGGGAAGGATCATATTTTAAAAGTAATGATAGAAATAATCAACTCTATCACTTATAATTTAAGTCTTATAAAGTCAGAAAAGCATATAGCCTTCCAGAAAAAAAGATTTCTGAAACAAAACTTATTTTACATAGCACAAACCTAAGTTAAATATCACAGTAGTGATCACCACATAAGAAACTAAAAAACGATACAATTAAAATAAACTCCTCTGCCTTCTATAATAAATGTAAACTTTTACAATCATTGAAAGGCATAAAATCCTGGTTCTATTTCTCACTGGCTTGCTTAAGGTTCCTAATTCTAGAAAATGAAGATATTAGTACCTACACCTCACAAGGTTATTGTGACGATTAAATAAGTTACTGTCTAAAAAGCTGTTAGTTATCTTAATGATGATTAAGTGCAAGGCAAATATCAAAGGGGCCACTAGTTCTTTGGAGTCAAGATTCAAGGGTCTTGAAACCACCCATGACTTAACTGTAAGATTTTCTTGCATACTGACCTTCTGTGGCTCCTCACAGAATGAGTGTGAACGGTGTTCACTACTCTTTTTGTAATAATCTGAACCCACCCCACCTACCCACCTTTAGATACACACTTTTTTTTTAAAGATAGGATCTTGCTGTGTCACCCAGGCTGGAGTGCAGTGGCACAAATCTCAGCTCACTGCAACCTCCGCCTCCAAGGTTCAAGCAATCCTCCTGCCCTGCCTCAGGCTCCCAAGTAGCTGAGACTACAGGCACGTGCCACTACATCCAGCTAATTTTTGTATTTTATGTAGAGACCAGGTTTTTGTCATGTTGCTCAGGCTGGTTTCAAACTCCTGAGATCAAGTGATCCATCCTCCTAAGCCTCCCAAAGTGCTGGGACTGCAGGTGTGAGCCACTGTGCCTGGCCAGATACACAGTTCTTTATATGGTCTCACAAATGTACCAAGCAAATTTCCACCTTTACATCTTTCATTCTAAGTTCCTCCTCAGAACTCAAGCTCCAGTTCTCCTGGCTATCCTACTCCACATTTACAATTGACTTCTTAGAATTCCTATTGCATATTTAACTTTTTGATACTTAAAGTAAACACCTGCTATGTTAAAAGAACTGCAGGGAAGCCAAACATAAATTAAATGTGGACCTTAACCTCAAGGGCAGAAGGTAAGTCTACTCAAATAATTACAATAAAATGTAATGAGCAGTCATAAGGGAGGGATAATGATACATAGGTTTAAAAAGGAATTCTTTTCTGCAAAAGAGGAGCTTGGGCAGCTATAGATGAAGAGGAGGCATTATAGGTAGAAGAAAAAGTAAAAGCAAATTAGAGAAAGAAAATTCTGGGGTGCACATTAAGGACAACACAAAATTTGATAGAGAGCATGGGATTTGTGAAAGGAAATCGTGAGAATAGTGGGAGGATCCATCAGTTTCTCAAAAAGTGCTCTACAGCCACTGAAGGTCCCAAGCATTTATCAGGTAAGTCAATGAATGGTCCATAGATAGTTTGGTGGTTTCAGAAGAAAACTCAGTGACAATATTTTATTCATATACTGTACTGGACAAACCAATGTGCCTCCTCACATTCTCTTGGCCTAATCTGTCTCCTAGACTCTCGGCCACCACTCTGACAGCTCTATGTGATACCACTTGGAATATCTAGTTTCTTTTACCACCCAGAATTCAGATGAAGGTAATACAGCATGAAGTGAGACCTAGCTTGCCTAGAAGATATTAGGGTCCAGGTGAATGAAGGTCCAAAAAGGAGTTTCAGGAGAGACTGTGAACCAAGGGCAATAATGGTTTCTTCTTCAATTTTACTCCTGTTATTTTGAAAATGTTTTGGTGCAGGCGTCAGTTGGGGGAAGGATCATATTTTAAAAGTAATGTTATTAAAGCACTGCAACAAATATAGGTAGACATCTATATATAGTATAGTACTACACAACGGTTATCATAACCAATGGCATGATATTCTGTTCATTATGACTAAATGAAGACATTACCTTTATTCAGGATTAGCTTAATTTGGAAAATATGATAGGCATGAAAAGGGACAAATTTTCTGAATCCTTTGTTTTCTCATTCCCTGCTAAATACAGTAGGCACCCATAATTGGAGTCCTGCTGGTAAATACATATGACCTTAACACAGGTAAGCTGGTTTACAGCTTAAGGCAGAGGAAGAAAGCTGAAGTAGTACCTCTATCAAAGTATGTCATCTTCTCCAAAATCACTACTATTTATTCCAAAAATTTGAAGCTGATTATGGAAAAACTGGTAGCTCTCCATTTACCTTGCAAGTGGATATAAATCTTGATATACTCAGTCCAACAATGGTTATTATTATAACCATTATATTATAATATAAATAATAACAACCATTATATAAGCAGGCTGGCCCCATCAAGGAAAAAGTTTCTATGTTGTGAGGCCTCTTTAGAAAAAATGATGCTTTTCTCCACTTTATACTGTAGAAAAGTATTGATATTTTGTGTACATATGGAACAGCTACAGAGTTTCTTCTGGGTCTGCTCCTTTGAAGAAGAAAGCAAGCTCCTCCCTCTTCACACTCACTGTTTTTATACTGGCATGTGCTGGTATCAAAGCCTTTGGATATAACCATGAAGAAGTTCTGCATATTCTCATAAAAGTCATTAAAATAATCACTACCTAGGTCTTCAATCACTACCTTTAGAAGGACTTTTTCTTTTATTCCTAAGAAATGTGAGTTAAATGTAGAGTCTTTCTATAACACAGTGAAGTTTACTGGCTTCTTAGAGAGCAAGTATCAAAACACTTCAGTGCTCTACTTTCCTTTACTCAGGAAATCACCAATAACTTTTACACACAGATACATGATACTGAGACAATTTTTTGTAACAATTAATAGAAATTTCTATGTGTTTATGTACTGCATCTATTCTTCCTGGAAGAAAGTGCACTTCTTTGAGGAATTAAGGTAGGTATAGGCTTCCTTTAAAGGGTTTCAGTTTATAATATATATATTATTAGACAATATTTAGTCACACTGAAACCTGGAAGCCTATTTTTTTCTGTGTAATTTCTTAGCTTCCTCTTTCACTAAAATATCCCTACATCCCTTCTGCTTCCTTCTGACCCGAACAGAACTAACCTTTGATGGATTGAATGGAATACCCAGGTATGAAGAGCCTCGGAAACCACAGCGATTTAGATTTGATCCTAGAAAATAAAAGCATGTGCTTATTTAAAGTACACTTTATTTTTTGCACAGATTCTAAAGCAGTTTAATTACACAATCTTTCAGAAACAGACTATTCTAGTCTCCATTTTCATACTGGCTAATGTTGAATGCTTACCATGTGCCAGGTCCGTTCTAGGTGCTTATGGGAATTTCCTCATTTAATTTCCATACGAGTCACAGATAACATAATGATTTCTATCATGTACCTTTTATTAATAGCCCACCTCACGGCCTATAAAGTCCTTTCATAATTCTCCTGTAAGATCAATTTTTACATGATCAACATATTCAATCCCCCTTTCTATAGAACAGAAAACAGAAGCTCAGAGGTTAAGCGAATGTTCAAGGTAACAGTTAATAACACAATAGGGTCTAGTGTCTTTTTACTTTAACTCATTTAGTGTCTTTTTACTTTAACTCACTGCTTCTTTACACTGGAGCAAGCTAAAGGTATAAAGTTGTAGAGAAAATATGTACTTTGTATTTCCGTATTAGCTAGACCTTCGTTCTGAGTCCAGTAATCCACTTGGCTTTGAAGTATGTAGAATACTGTAAGTTAGCACTTAGTCTCTCTCGACTCAATCAAAATATGTTTATGCATACTTTTTTGCTATCTAAAAATTTTCATTTCTCAAGATATCAATGGAATGTAAGTTGGAACTTAAAAGAACAATCAACTATACAATAATTAGGGTTTTAATAGCTATTAGAAAATCAGTATGATAGATGCTGAAAATAATAATGCAGTATCAGCAGACTGTAAATGCACTGCTGATAAAAAGAATTGAGTTGGTCTAGTCTCTGATATGAAGAACTACCTTCATAAGAGATTATGACTTGTGTATGACTAACTTCATTATAACTGTTTTTCACTCTCCTACTTCTTCATTAGGTACTATACTTTTTCAGCTTCTTATCCCCCCAAAATACTTAAAACAGTAGTTTATACATTAATTCTTTGAACAAATTAGGAACCACTAAAATTTAAACTCTCCACCAATTATCATCTCTCTACTGGCAAAAAAATGTATTTTAAAAAGATACTAGTAGCCAGGCCTGGTAGATCACACCTATAATCCCAGCACTCTGGGAGACTGAGGAGGGTAGCTCATCTGAGGTCAGGAGTTCGGACCAGCCTGGTCAACATGGTAAAACCCCATCTGTACTAATAATACAAAACGTAGCTGGGTGTGGTGGCACCTGCCTGTAATCCCAGCTACTTGGGAAGCTGAGGCAAGAGAATTGCTTGAATCTGGGAGATGGAGGTTGCAGTGAGCCAAGATTGTGCCACTGCACTCCAGCCTGGGTGACAGAGTGAAACTATGTCTCAAAAAAATAAAAATAAAATAAAAAGATACTAATGGTGATTATAATTTCAGTGATTATGGTTCTCTTATCCTAAGGACTTATAAATTGGTAAGCTACTTAAAACTTGCCAATATATAACAGAAGTTACAAAAACACTCATATCCTTTTGACCCAGTCATGATATATCTGAGAATCTATTCCAATAATTTCAAGTATGAGAAGAAATGCACACTTCAGTTTAATAACAGTGAAAATCTAGAAGCACCATAAAAGTCCAGCAGGTTAAGCATATCATGCCTCATGTACTGAAAGAAATACTATATTCCTATTAAAAGTAATAATCATTAGAACTATGGAGCAACACAGAGAAAAGTATTTGATCAAGTTAAGCAAAAAAGTAGGATCCAAAAATAAATGTGCACTATTATGTTTATAATTAAGCAAATGGCACATATCAACAAAGACAGGAAGGGAATAAACAAAATAATATTAATGGTGTGAGATAACATGAATAAGGTTGAATTTTGTTCTCTGTATTAGTCACTGTTGCCATAACGTGTTACCACAAACTTGGCAACGTAAAACACCTACTGCCTTACTGTTCTGTTAAGGTCAGAAATCTAACACAGGCATCATCAGGCTAAAGTTAAGGTGTAGGTAGGGCTACCTTCCTTACTTGGAGGCTTTGGGGGAACAATCTGCCTCCAAGCTCATTCAGGATGCTGGCAGAATCAACTTCCTTGCAGTTGTGTGACTGAGTTCTCCATTTCTTTGCTGGTAGGTATCCCTTTTTGCTCCTAGATCCTCTCTTGCCATTTCTCATATGTGGGCCCCATATCTCAGAGTAGCAATGGCATTCAAATCCTTTCCATTAGACCCTCTCTCACTCTCCCTTCTCTCTTCTGCTCCCTTTCTCTGCAATGCCATGACGAACGTTTCTGCGTTCTGCTGCTGCTCATGTGATTTTACTGAGCCCACCTGTACACACGTCACCTGGGATAATCTCTTTATTTTAAGGTCAGTTGATTAGTATAACTTTAACTCCCATCTACAAAGTCCCTTCACAGCAGTACCCAGATTAGTATTTGACTGAATGACCAGGGAACAGAAATCCTGGGGCAACATCTTTAGAATTCTACCTAACACAACCCCTATATTCCAAATGGTACATGCTATACTTCAAAAAAAAAAAAAAAAAGTTATCTTTCTCTTACCAAGTTATGAATTCCTTTATCCTTTTTATTTCTGAGACAGAGTCTTGCTCTGTTGCCCAGGCTGGAGTGCAGAGACATGATCTCAGCTCACTGCAACCTTGCCTCCCAGGTGCAAGCAATTCTCCTGCTTCAGCCTCCCGAATAGCTGGGACTACAGGCATGCACTATCATGCCCAGCTAATTTTTGTATTTTTAGTAGAGACGGGGTTTCATCGTGTTGGCCAGACTGGTCTCGAACTCCCGACCTCAAGAGATCTGCCTGTCTTGGCCTCCCAAAGTGCTGGGATTACAGGCATGAGCCCACTGCACCCAGCCTATCCTTTTATCATCACTTCTTTTAATCCCTCTCTAGTTGGATGAGGGGCAGTATCAAAAGGCATATTTTCCTATTTGATTAAAAATTTTTTTAATCTTTTTTTTTCTCTTTTTGTTGTTGGGATTGTCTTTTTTAAAGGGCATCCTTTCAAATTACTAATTTGCTAACAGTCCTCCATGAAAATGTGATCTTCCACTTTTGATGGAAAAGAGCTCTGATACCATCTGTCAGTTCTGAATTTATACTTGCAACTGGACACCTTTCTTGAGTCCCCCACCAACTTAAACAATTCTGCCAGGCGTTTTACACAGAGGTAGACATATAGTAGTGGTTCAATCAAATATCTGCTTCTGAGAGAAATAAATGAATGTATTCATTTTCTTAGAGGTAAATCAATAAATGACATTTCCGTTTGCTCACTTCTGTTTTTAGCCTGATTAAATAAATAACTTTTCTGAAAAGCAGCAGAAATATTGATACTGAAAAGTACCATATAAGGTTAGGAGATTATGGCATGGACACTTGGAATCAAACTCAGGATCCTATTCTTCCTATCAATGAGTTCTACAGGCAAGTAACAACCTCTCTGAGCCAGTTCCCTCCATTTTTGAACTAGTAACAATAACACATTGCAAGTAATATATTTCAGGCTTCTTGTAAAGGTTAAAGGACATGTTTAGATTGTACTTACCAAAGTGAAACAAGGCTTAATAAACAGTAACCATTCAAAATCAGTTAATTATATTTTATCAAAAATGAAACGGGAAGAAATGAATAGCTTTTGTTGCAACTTATCAAGGAAAGTTTTTTTAAAGTAAAAATGTTTTTCTTTTTTTCTTTTATTCCAGAAAGACTGTATACTGTCATGTAAAAAGTGTTTGGATCTTAAGCACCACAGTCACAGTATAGGGAAAAGACAATGTAATATTTCTTGCCCTCTTCTTAATCATCTGTGGACTACGAAGCTGGATAAAGAAGTTTATTCTTTATTTATTTTAAAGTGTATACTTTATTCTATAGTAAGAGGTTTTACTGTTTCTTATGGAAAGCTAAGATAAAGTAACTAAGAAATCAAGAAAATTACTCATTCACTAAATTGAGTTATCAGTCACACACTTAAATCCTAATGTTTTAAAAAATGATGCTCATTAAGAGGTAACATTTTCACCACTTAAAATTTTTCACCACTTAGGCCGGGCGCGGTGGCTCACATCTGTCATCCCAGCACTTTGGGAGGCCGAGGTGGGTGGATCACCTGAGGTCAGGAGTTCGAGACCAGCCTGACCAACATGGAGAAACCCCATCTCTACTAAAAGTACTAAAATTAGCCGAGTGTGGTGGTGTGCGCCTGTAGTCCCAGCTACTTGGGAGGCTGAGGCAGAATAATTGCTTGAACCCGGGAGATGGAGGCTGCAGTGAGCCAAGATTGCACCACTGCACTCCATCCTGGACGACAGAATGATACTCCATTTCAAAAAAAAAAAAAAAAAAATCAAAAAATCACCACTTAAAAAAATTTATTAGGTACTCTTTTGTGGTTTCTGTCAATATTTGTCTGCTCTTGTGCTTTCCTTTAGAATTCTAGTATGCATACCTTTTCATGATAATGAAGAACGTATACACACACAATTCATTGGAAATTTATCACTGAATGCATACTCTGGGTACAGGATAAATTTCTTTCCAGGTTGTCAAACTGCACCATCTAGTGTTCCTATTTAACAGTTGCAAAACAAACTGAAAATTCTTTGTGTGGTCTGGCTGGCCATCAGAATCAACTGCCTATTTTGAAAAAACAGAGATGCCTCTTGCATCTCCCCTCCCCATGCCTGCATAAAAACATGAGGATAGGGCCTGGAAAACTGTATTTAAAAAGAAAAACAATCCCTGTTTGACACATAGTCACAGTCAAGAACTACTGATTTGGTAAATATATTCTCCACTTTTGTAGAACCATAGAGTCAAACTAGTTTATGCTGTTAAACAGAAGTACTTTAGATAGCACTATATCATAAAAATTAAGGTTAAGAAAAATGAAAACTGGGTAGATGAGAGAGGTAGCAAAAATGGGAATATGTACATGGATGTACTATGTGTGTGTTTATGTGTAAGTATGCAGGAGGTATGCTATTAGATAATA